CGGCTCCCGCAGGCAGTGGTGGCAGTGGCAGTGGCAGTGGCAGGGCGAGCGGGGAGCTCCCGCAGGCGGTGGCAGTGACAACAAGCAAGGAGCTCCCTCAGGCGGTGGTGGTGGTGGCGGGGTGAGCGGGGAGCTCCTGCAGGCGGTGGCAGTGACAAGCAGGGAGCTCCCTCAGGTGGCCGTGGTGGTGACAGTGGTGGTGACAAGCAAGGAACTCCCTCAGGCGGTGGTGGTGGTGATGGTGGCGGTGGTGGTGGTGAGCAGGGAAGAATAAAGGACATAAAGGCGTCCGCTTTCATAGTAGTAGAGGGCCAGAAAACCGGCCTGTCCTCTATAAAACTGGACAAATGGCCACCCTCAGCAGAGCTGGCGCGTGCATTGAGGAGCCTGGCACAAGCGGGGGCACTGAGCGCAGCTGTCGGCACCGTGTCGTGAGGGTTCAGTGCAGAGGCTTGCCGGAGATGAGCAGGGCCAACCGGCATCTGTAGGGCAGAAATGGCCCCGGGCCTGCCCCAAAGCCCTGGGGAGGGTGCGTGTTGCACGCTGTTACCCTTGCTAATGAATGCCGTCTGACACCCACCTCGGTACTGCGGGCTGCAGAGAAGCCAGGGGGACCTCACATGTGCACGGCTGAAAGCTAAAGGGATGCCAAGGAGGCCCAGTGCTTAGACACCTGATTTGGATGATTAATATTAGTCCTAATGGAGTCTACGGGCATTTTACCCTGAAGTCAAACAGGGAAGGCCCAGAGAAGGATGCAAATTCTCTGCTGCTTCCCAAGCCCACGAGCCAAGCACCCCGAAGCAGAACAGGGAGAATCAGGCCCGTTGCATCGTCGCCAGCATGGGATACACTCCTCACAGCAGTTTAAGCCCTGATAGCCACTCAAGTAGGGTCTGGTGCCTGAGTGGGCGTGCAAGCCTCTTGTGTGCTCATCCCTTCTCCCCAGCACAACTCTGACAAGACAATAAAAACCAATGGAGCAGAAAAGTGCTTTCTCCCCTTGGTCCTGTCTACTTAGCCTCAGCATCTAATTCCTGCTAGGAAATGACTCTGCCATTTGGTATCTCCCACGCTTCCCTCCCGGACAAACCGGGCAGGACGCATTCCTCTCCAAAAGCGCTTCAATAAATCATAAGAGTTTACGATCTGGGAGCACTTGTCAGCCTGGCAAGCTCCAAAGCCTGGCAGCAACTCAGCAAACCAAGCGTCTATCATGACAACATCCAACAGGGCACAGGGCTCACCCTCAGCAGCTGAGAGAAGGAAGTGGAGAAAAATACCTTCCCTGAAGTGGTGTAATTTGGACGAGTGGATGAGTGGAATGAAAGCAAGGGTACGTGAGGACAACCTGTGAGATCACCTCTCTCCCCATTCCCAAAGGCCAGTGCACAGGAACCAGACTAGCCACACTAGGACACAGTCCGACGCCTACCGCCCTGCCTCTGGGCTTGGAGAGAACAAATTTGACCAAGAGGGATGCTCCAGATATTCAGAGCCCCCCATTGTGACTCTTCATCAGGGACCATGCACTGGGAGGGCTGGGAGTAAACATTAGGGACTGAAGGATGGATCTGTGACCTGGTGCACATGGTTACATGTGGTTCTCACCAGGGTAGACTGGTGTCCCATCACGTGACCTTCCCACAGTGGGAACTGGCTGTGCGCAGCGTCCTTTCTATGTCATGTCAAAAGGTGGAAAACATTCAAGGTACCAGGGCATGGCGAGCAGGACAAGGGCCTAGGGGGCAGAAGTGGGAGGAAATGGGGTGCGGTTCCACAAAGCAGGGCTGGGGCAGAGAGTTGTCCACATGCTGCTCTGCACGCTGCATGAGTTTGCAGCCTTGCTGGACTCAGGCTGGCCAGAGGCTGCCTCTAGCTGGCTGGATAGATGGGGACCTGGTCATTGGGACTGAGGAGTCAAGGGGGCTGGGAGGGATGTGGGTCACCTCCCTGCCTTGCGTGCTGTTGGCTCAGCCCCAGTGGGCTGCTTGGTCCAGAGGGACCTCTGGCTTTGATGGAGACCCCTCAGAAAACATGATCCAGTGGACAGCAAGAGCAGGGCAAGGAGGGGCGAAGGGTGAGTTGCACAACCAGAGGCGGATGCCTGCTCCCCCCTCCGATATCTGCCAGTAGTGATGTGCTGGAGATAGAGTCCTCCCTCACGAGCGACTGAAGAGGGAAGAAGCAGGGACAGTCATGATGGCAGAGGCAGTTGGCAAAGGCTGAGCAGTCTTTGCGAGGGGAAGTGAGGCTGGCAGGACCCCGTTCATCCACCTGCACTGGGAAGGGTGCAAGATTGCCCATATGCAGAGCAGGTGACCTGGGGCTGTGGGCAGGTCCCCTGCTCTCAGCAAGCAGCGCGAGGTGTCTCAGACTGGGCCAGTGCACTGGACTGCCAGCTACCGGGGAGGGCAGAGAGAGCCTCAGCCTCTTGATTTTTGTTTTGTAAGCAGCTCTAAATCCTCAGCAATCAGCCTCGCCTTCCCACCGACCCTGGCATGGCAGCCGAGGCGTGGGGCTGGCGTGGGCCTTAAGGAGTTTCGGCCACTGGTTCAGAGCAGGAGTCCCCTTCAGCCTGTACATGTTGGTGCAGTGGAGGGACTGGGGGCTGGCTCACACGTGACCACGGCTCGACTTCACTGGGAGGACAAGGAGAAGTGCCGATGCTGTGCCTGCCCTTTGCTGCTTGGTGCTCCTGCCGTGGGCAGCCCGGGCATCCCGAACGCCCTGCCAAACCAGCAGCCTCCCCAGCCTTCTCGCTGGATGCGTCTGCTGTTCTGTTCACCGCCTGCTTCTTCGAAAGAGGTGCGCACGCATGGTCATGAGCTGAGCCAAGCTGTCGGCTTCTGGTGGCACTTCATCCTCTTCAGCAGCTGCCCTGCTCAGACAATGGCCCCATCGCTCTGCCTGAAGTAATTACATGGCAATAAAAGGTTGTTTTATGGATTAATAACATTCTGCAAAGCTGTATTTTAGAAGCGGCTGCTGACTTGATTGGAAAATGCATCAGGGCAGGGGTCCTTCAGGGACTCTTTCCAACCTACACATAATGGGCCAGGCCCACCCCATGTCACTATTCCCCTCCCAGGTAGCTGGCAACAATAGGGCTGCTCACAGACAGCATCTGGGTACTGGCCCGCTCCTCTGTGAGGATATAAAGAAAGTGTTTAGTGGTGGTAGATGGGTCTTGGTCCTCCCCCAGTCCTCTCTGAGGCAGGGTGGCCACAACCTAGCACTGAATTTTAGGGTTAATGTAAAGGAAAAGCAGGTCTAATGGCCATATCTATCGGGACACATGAAACAAAGCCTTCCAAAATCCTCTGTCCCACTGTAGGAAGGTGGAGTGTCTTCAGATCTTCCACCTTGCTGATGAAGAGCATGGAGAGCGCTTTCCAGGATATTGCTCATTTGGATTTACTGGTTCGGACCTACCGTAGCAAACAGCTAGCTGGTGTTCAAGCGGATTGACTTGCAGCAATTTCAGCAGGGGCTTAGATACCAGTACAGTTTCAGGGTGTTAATCCTCAGAAGTATTCAAAGGCAAAGACCAAGCAGACAGCCATGCCTCCAAATGGGGGTATGGTTAGAATAGCCCTGGCACCGTGTTGGTTACTTCTTCAGCTGCAGACTTTTCTGCTTATCCAAATCCTGGTATTGCTCCATCACCAGCCACCTCCAAGATCTCAGATGATTAAACCCAGATCATGGGAATGCAGAACTATGTTCATGACAAACTAAGGAGCCCAAGTACAGAACAAACCCTGATCCGGCCCCCGGGAGGATGCGAGAAGGGGATGGATGTGATGCTTGGCTTTCTCATTAACAAGAGAGGATAAAGGCAGCAGAGGGAGGGGAGGTGAATGGGGAGAGCAGCCTCGCCTCTGTCCTCATATGCAGTGGCTGCAACTTGAACTAGCCACGTTATGAATTACAATCTCCAGGCAGTCAATAAGCACCGCCCTTCATAAATCAGCTTGGAGATCCTGCGGGATGTGGTGTTGACTGGGATGCCAGAGGAAATTAGAAAGATGAAGTAGGCTACAGTGCCTCAGCACCCGCTTCATTTGTCGAGGAACGGAGCAACTAACCATTGGCAATTCATGCAAGGAAATCTGCCTTGTGAGCAGGCAGTGATTTCCTTGCGTTTTTTTTCCATTCTTCCCCTGGATTTGGTGGCATGCTGGGCAACTCTCCTGAGGTCCCACAGATTCCCCTGGAGGGTTTGTCAGGAGCTGGTCCAGCCATCTTGTCCCACTAGGATGAGTCAGATAAGCCTCAAAGGAGCAGCTTTGGGGATAAAAATCTGGGATGCAATCTCAGATCCTCCACGGGCCTTTGGAGCCAGCAAGCAGCCTGCACCCTTGCCCGTCTCAGTTAGCACAGCTGTCTTGGTGCTTTCCTGGGTGTAGCACTGTATAGATGTGGCTGTTGTACTCCCCACGTGAGCAGGAAGCTGCTTTCCGAACTTGAAGCTGCATTCCCAGTTACACTGGGCTGCCTCCCCAGCAGACAAAGCAGAAG